GGCACCATCTAGCTGTACTGGACTCAGTCTGGTGGAGGCCTTGGTAGCTGTGGTCCATTAGTCCTTTGGACTAATGTTTTCCTTGTATACTGTTCTCTTCATTCCCCCTTGCTCCCGAAGGGGTGAGACCAGTGGAGTTTCTTAGACGGCTGCTCACAGGCTTTTAAGACCCAAACGCTACTCACCAAGGTAGAATGCAGAACATTGTCTTTATAAACTGTGTTATGCCACTTGAGCTAGATATTCCCCAAGAGCATGGTCCCGACAGAACCTCCACCCAGCAATTCAGTCCCTTAGGGAGTTTGGATGTGTCTGTGGAGCATCCATGACCGTTCCTTGTACAAGTTGTACTGGCTTCCCCAGTACCGTGTACTGTCTTACCCTTCACCAAAGTTGCCACTTATCTATTGTCTATTTAGTATTTCTTCCCACCCCTCCCATCCCTCATAACCAACAAAGATTGTTACTTTTTGTGTGTAAACCTTTTCATGAGTTTTTACAGTAGAGGTGTCATACAGTATTGGTCCTTTTATGCTTGACTTATTTCACTCAGCATAATGTCCTCCAGCGTCATCCATGTTATGAGATGCTTCACAGATTCATCATAGTTCTTTATCGTTGCACAATACTTCATTATGTGTGTGTACCATAGTTTGTTTATCCATTCATCTGTTGATGGGCATGTAGGTTGTTTCCATTTTTTTGCTATTGTGAACAACGCTGCCAAGAACATGGGTATGCGTATGTCTATTCAAGTGACGGCTCTTATTTCTCTAGGATATATTACTAGGACTGGAATTGCTGGATCATATGATATTTCTATTTCTAGCTTTCTAAGGAAGGGCCATATTATTTTCCAAAATGGTTGTATCATTATGCATTCCCACCAGCAATGCATAAGAGTTCCCATCTCCCCGCAGCCTCTCCAGCGTTTGGTATTTCCAGTATTTGGATTCGTGCCAGTAATGCCAGGGTGAGATGGTATCTCATTGTGGTTTTAATTTGCATTTCTCTAATGGCTAGTGTTCACGACCGTTTCCTCATGTGTCTATTGGCTGCTTGAATGTCTTCTTTGGTGAAGTGTCTTTTGATTTCCTTTGCCCATTTTTTAATTGGATTATTTGTCTTTTTGTTG